ACAGTGTCCTTGTTCACCCCGTTACAAAACCATCATCTCCTAATTTGGATCAGTATTGGGAACGAAATTCTCCACTAAAAATTATATGTTAAATCACTAAAGATTAATATTAGGATTATCATTATCATGGAAGTTGATGGGATTTTGCGTTAGTAAAGGGATGGATGTTAATTATTTGTATTAGGTTGGTGGCGATTCAAAAGATAAATTATTCGTTTTAAGTCGAAATGTGACACAGCTTTGACAAAGTTGGTAAACGTTTAAGTCTTTGAATATCTAGGTTAGACTCCAACACAAAAGATGAAGGCGTGATTCAAATTTCCAATTGAAGAGTGTATATTATTAGTACTATATTTTAAAACTCATGAAATTCTTTTTGTAAACAAAACAAATATTTTATATTTTAAACTATAAAAATATATGTTAAATCCCTCAAATTTAAGATTAAATAAAAATATATGTTAAATCACTAAAGATTAACCTTGAGAATATATAATATGTGCCAACTTTTTAAAAATAATTATGTGTAAACTTAAACCAACACAAGTTATCCATTTATAGATATAGACAAATTCAAATAAAAATTATTATTGATAATTTAAATCAATTTAGATAAATATATAATACTAATAATACCATGTTTAGAGCAGTCCAAACTCATGGTAAATTCTAGGCCACACGAACCCATGACTTTGTAGTCTAATATGCAAACCCAATGAACAATGGACCCGCCTTTTGTCATAAAACAAAAGATGGGGACAAAAACTAAACTAAAGGAAGAAAACAAGGGGTTTTATGTGAATTCGTTATTTCTATAATGTACAATAGTGTTACCTTGAACAGGTATGGACTCTTCATTTACAAAGAAATATATTTATAAACAAAATAAAATATTTAATACTTATTGTATAGGTGAATTACCCTATTTTGTATAAAGAAATATATTTATAAAAATTTATACAACAAGTGATTAGAAATAAAATAATAAAAAATATTAATAAAAAAATAATATATACATTTTGTTAAGATTTTTTTTAAGTAAAAAAATAAACATATAAAAGAAACATGAAATAAGACACACTAGAGACTAGATATAGTATAATTCGACTTGTCTATCTAAATGAATGAGGAAAAAATAGTATATTGTAAACATAAATATCACACATAGCATAAATACATTGAATTCTCTTATATCCTCAAAAATCTAGTCTATCTCAATACGGTCTTTCAATTTTCATACAAAACTCATATCTACATCATAAAACCTAAAAGTTGCATAAATTATGAAAATGATTACATCTCTCTAAAATAATTCTCACCCATAATTATAAAAATTAAGACCTAATCTATATTTATATAGAGAATAAAATAAATTTTATAAGAATTCTTACCAAAATAAACTTAATCACCAAATAATCTTTATCCACTATAATTATAACAAAATCCAACTTAATTGGTGAAATTCAAATCATTACATAATAATCTCTCTCTTAACAAAAAATTTATTAGAAAATTAACCTTTAGTATTCAACAACTTCAATTCTCATGTAATATTTGTTGAAACACCGTTGGATCAATTGAGAATTACTCTCATTGTATCTGAAAACTCGTTACAATAAAATTTCTCTTACAGGTCTTCAATATCACTAACAAAATATACAATAATAAATTCATTTAAAACTCCACAACTTGAACAATAATTTCGATACCACTTGTTAAGAATTTATAAGTAGAAAATAAACATAACAAGTTCAACATAAAATAAGACACTCACAAAAGATGTGATTTATTATGGTTCAACTTTGTATACCTCCACATATGAGAGAAATAATAATGTACTATAAATATAGAGATCACAAAAAGAACAAACACATAAAATTCTCTTATATCATGAAACCTGATATATCTCAAAACACTATTTTAACATCTATTCAAAATCTTACTCTATAGTTATTTATATATAAAAAATAAAGGTGGTTACTAAGAATCCGTATAATTATAGAGAAAGCAAACTTGATCATTAAGAATCATTATTCCATCTTAATTTTTACCTAAATAAATTTAATCACCAAACAATCTTCAAACACTGTAATTACAATAAAATATAAATTAATCAATAATTAAAATTTTCATTAGTCACATATTCGATCCATAAGTAATGATTCACAATAATAATTTTCTAGATATTTTCCCGGTTGAATTAAGGGTAAAATATACTTTTAGTATCTAAACTATTAGTTTTGGTCTGTTTTAGTAACTAAACTTTTATTTTTTTCAAAACCAACATAACGTTTAGTTTTTTTAGTATCATGTCTTTAAAAACTTAAAGGACGGGCTTGTCATTCACTGTGTCTACAATTGTCAACCGTTGCATCCGTAGGTCAATGAAGCCTAAACTTTTCAGCCCGCACCTTTTCGACCCCTAAATGCGATTCAGACCTCTGTTTCACCAAGAAATTATTCAATCTCCCCAAATCGACGATGGACACTTCGATTTCTTCATCATCCGATCTCTCTGGTCCACCGTCCTATGAGCCTGAAACTATACTATGTTGGTCAACTCGTTATTCTTTCGTGCTCCACTGTTCATATTGGTCGTCCATAGGGATGGCAAAAAAACCCGAACCCGACGGGGAAAACCGAAAACCGAATTAAACGGGTCGGGTTTGGGGATGATAAACGGGGATGGGGACAGGGACGGGGACGGGGAAAACCCATTTATTTTAAACGGGGACGGGGACGGGGACGGGTTTGGTAATCCCCGCCCCGATACCCGACCCGATAAATATTAAAAATAATATTAATATATATATATATATATATATATAATATTAATAAATTTAATTTAAATAAAAAATATATATTTAATTTAAATATATATATATATATACCCGGCCCGATTTCCGACCCAATACCCGACCCAATACCCGGCCCAATACCCGTTTAAATAACCGTTTGTGCTAAACGGGGATACCCGTTTCCCCGCGGTTTTCCCCGATTACCCGACGGGGATCCCTGTTTAAATCCCCGTGGTTTTTTAAACGGGGATGGGTACCGATTTTTTAAACGGGGACGGGGACGGGGGGACCAATACCCGGCCCGAACCCGGCCCGTTGCCATCCCTAGTCGTCCATCCACCAGAGCTATGCCACATTAGCCCGTCTGTTAAGTTTTTAGTGGCGGAGTACTAAAATGAAACAAAAACTAAAGTTAGGCATGGTTTTGAAAAAAAAAATGAAAGTTTAAGTACTAAAACATACCAAAATTAATAATTTAGGTACTAAATGCATAATTTACCCTTGAATTAATATAATTAGTAAATGATATCGACTCACCTAATATTTTAAACAACATTGTATTTGTATAACATGCTTAAACATATTCGAGCACTCTTAATTGGCTGAATTTCTTAAATAATGCAGTTGAAAAAAAATTGTTTGAATAGGGCACTTTCGAAATTATTTCGTGAAATAGAGTGAATGCTACAGTAAATCCGAAGACGAATTGGAGTCCAAGCGACTTACTGGGGGAGACGCATGGAGTGCAATGCGTCTCCCATATTTTTTCACTATGTAAATGTACAAAGGGTAAATTACACAATTAATCATTCATATTTTTATGTTAGTCGTGTAAATATATATATAAACTTTTTATCTACTAAATATTCAATTTAAATTGGTATTACGAATATATTTGACATTAATTTAATTATAAAACTATTTTTATTTAAAATACACGAGATATTATCATAATGATACAATTTTGGACTACAATTTCAATTAGAAATTATGTAAGCACGATGTTGGTTTATTTAGTATACAAATTCAATGCTTGGACTCCAAAAAAAATTACCCTTTGTATATTTATGAAAAAGTGAAAAAATTACCCTTTAGTACACAAGTTGAGTGATTAAATTGAAAAAAATTAAAAGTACAATGAGTGAATTTGGAGAGAGAGTAAAGTTGAATGATTAATTGTGTAATTTACCCTTTGAAAATATCGGAGGGAGTGCAATGCGTCTCCCATATTTTTTAGGCTAAATTACATAATTAATCATTCAACTTTACTCTCTCTCCAAATTAACTCACTATACTTTTAATTTTTTCAATTTAATCACTCAACTTTTGTTTTACTCCTATTTTGATCACTCATTGACCATTGTTCATGTTGTTATATGGAAGCCAATTTGATACATCAGCTCTAGCATTGAATTTGTGTACTAAAGAAACCAACATCGTGCTTACATAATTTCTAATTGAAATTGTTGTCCAAAACAGTGCAGTTGTATTTAATTAATTTGGAGAGAGAATAAAGTTAATGATTAATTGTGTAATTTACCCTTTGTACATTTACATGGGAATGAAATTGGTGAAAGAATACGGGAGACGCATTGCACTCCATGCGTCTCCCCCAAATTATATTGTCCAATGCATCTTCGGGTTTACTAACATTCACTTTATTTCACGAAATAATTTCCAGAGTGCCCTATTTGAACAATTTTTTTTCAACTGCATTATTTGATAAATTCACCCTTAATTAGTTATAGTCCACAATAATTCCTGACTTTGGGCTACAATATGAGAGCTCAATACAAAAGGAGAGCCCTTATTTTGCCATAAAACTGAAAGATAGGGAACAAAATTAAATTCAAGGAATAAAACAGGGGGTTTATGTAAATTAATATATTTAAGCATTTGCTTATAAAACACCTAGGGTTTTAGAAATGGAGTTTAGCAGCAGCCAGCCACAGCATTCGACGCACGGCAGCAGTCTCAGGTCGCCTGTCTCTCTTCTATCTAATATCTCCATCTTCGTCACTTTTAGCTGCATTTGCATATAAAATGGTTAAAAATGAAAGAAAATATGAACTGTTTTCTCAGTTTTCTTTTGTAAGAACATGGCTTAGTGTCATCTGAAAATCTCATTGAATTGTATTTGGTTATGGGTCTTTTATTTGGAGTTATGTGATTATTTATTCATTTTTTTTCATGGTGATGAAGGCGGGGCAGAATGTCTCACAGGAAATTTGACCAAGACATGGTTAACTTGGATTTCTTCCAAGGAAGCGAGCTTCTCGTCACAGAGGGAAAGGTAAATTATCTTTTATTTTTATTAATTTGTTCATAATGTAGCTGTAGAAAACTATAGTTTTGTATGAGCTATAGATTTTGTTATCTAAATATGCAGCAATGAAATGATTATAAATGTTTGTTTGTGTGTGTGTGAATTGTGATGGTGTTACTTTGGGTTGGTACAGTGAAGGCATTTCCTAAGGATGATACAAGCAAACCTTGCAAGCTCACTGCCTTTTTGGGTTACAAGGCTAGCATGACACACATTGTTCGAGAGGTTGAGAAGCCTGGATCTAGTAAGTTGATTTCGATTAACTTGCAACTTATTTCAATTGTTTAATATCTAGTAAGTTGTTTTTGATCAACTTGCAACTTATTTCAAGATGTTGAGCTTGTTTTGACATGTTGATGCATTGCTTAACTTGATATTTAAGGAAACAAGTGATGCATTATCTGTTATTGGCATTTGTGTAAATAATTCTCTTCAAGTAAAAGTTTTAAGTGGAACTAGTGTTTATCGGTATTGGTTATTTGAGTTCAAACTTTTAAATTTGTTTTGTATTCGTTCCAGCTAACTTGTGTTCTTTGTTTTTGTATAGAACTTCACAAGAAAGAGACATGTGAAGCCGTTACGATCATTGAAACCCCTTCAATGCTGAGTGTTGGGGTTGTTGGATACGTCAAGACACCCCGCGGTCTCCGCAGCTTGAACACTGTATGGGCTCAGCATCTGAGTGAGGAGGTCAAGCGTAGGTTCTACAAGCATTGGTGCAAGTCCAAGAAGAAGGCGTTCACCAAGTACTCAAAGCAGTACGAGAGTGAAGAAGGGAAGAAGAGTGTCGAGGCTCAGTTGGAAAAGATTAAGAAATATGCCACTGTTGTTAGTGTTTTGGCCCACACTCAGGTTATAACAATATTTGATTTAATCAGTGTCTTGGTTTTCTATATTTTACTGTTCATAAGTGTTAATTTGCATTGTTACAGATTAGAAAAATAAAGGGATTGAAGCAGAAGAAAGCACACCCAATGGAGAATCAAGTCAATGGTAGAACAATTGCCGACAAGGTTGATTTTGCTTACAAGTTTTTTGAGAAGCAAGTCCCCATTGATGCTGTTTTCCAGAAGGATGAAATGATTGATATCATTGGTGTCACTAAGGGTAAAGGTTATGAAGGTGTTGTCACTCGTTGGGGTGTCACACACCTACCCCGCAAGACCCACAGAGGTCTGCGTAAGGTTGCTTGTATCGGTGCCTGGCATCCTGCTAGAGTCTCATTTACTGTTGCCAGGGCAGGTCAGAACGGATACCATCATCGTACTGAGATGAACAAGAAGGTTTACAGGGTTGGCAAGGTTGGTGATGAAGCCCACTCTGCCATTACCGACTATGACAGGTTAGTGGAATATAATTGGGAGTGTTTTGAAGGCATTCAATGGATTTTATCAATTTTGATTGATATAATTGTTAAATGTGTACTGACATCAGGACCGAGAAAGATATTACACCCATGGGTGGCTTCCCTCACTATGGTGTTGTGAAGAGTGATTATCTGATGATCAAAGGGGGCTGTGACGGACCTAAGAAGAGGGTTGTTACGCTTCGCCAGTCTCTGATTAACCAGACGTCCCGTGTGACATTGGAGGAAATCAAACTCAAGTTCATAGACACCTCCTCCAAGTTTGGGACGGGCGTTTCCAGACAACACAAGAAAAACAGAAATTCTATGGTCGGCTCAAGGCGTAAATTCGCAAACTGGTCTAGAGTTTTCATTGTCGTATGTTTTAGGTTTTGTTATTCCCCTAGGTTAATTTATTGTCGTTCTCTATTCTGTTTTGAAATACATCAGTTAGATTAATTTGGCTTTATAAATTTTGTGTTGAATGTCTGAACTGATGGAAGATTTGGAGCAGTTTCCCTGAACAAAAAATAATTTCTGATTTTTTAATATAAAAAGAATGGTCACTTTTAATATTTTATGGATAAAGTTTGATAAAAATATTCATTTTATTATTAAAATTTTAACATGAACCGAGCCGACCTAAAATAAAAATCACTTTGTTTAAACTTGGGTGTACTGAGTGTGACAAATATGACTTTGCATACATCTAAAAAATCTATGAAACCTTTTTTCAAGAATTCCCCCAAATTTCATGCCTAAGGGGAACCATTTTTCCTCATTGGATAGATTTCATTCTTAGATCAGTTGAACTACCCCTTCATACAAAGAAAAAACACTATCCAAAAAAATGCAATGGCTACTATACAAGTTAACCAAATCATTTGCCAGCTTCTTCAGTTGTAACTGTGGGATCGGTTACAATTTCCAGACTACCACTTTCATTTTCGTAACTTGAGGGTATAGGATCCGGTTCAATGATAGAAGCCCGATGATCTATAGGCATAATAGATTCAACATCCAAGGTCGTATGGGGAGGATCATTGCCCTCCTTACTGCCCTTCTGGGAGACCTTCGATAGGTCTTCATCTTCCTCGATAATACACTGCTGGGATATCTTAATAGAAGATCATCACTGTTCTCAATTTCAGTATCAACCTTTGAACGTGGCTCTCCACCTCGATCTGCTTTTGCTTTCTCGGTACTTTGTAAAGTACGCCTTGGAACCTACTATGGGACGAACGCCCAGAAATTATTCTTGGACGGGGTTACCTTTGTGCAAATTACTTCATGAAAATTACTCGGGCAACCATGATCGTAGATATTGATTCAGCTTCTGGCCAGATGTCGAAAATTTTCTGGTAGTCTGGGAGACATGAAGGTATGTTAGTTAAACTCCGAAAAACTAGCTGAATTTAACCCAATAAAATGATCTTTGTTCCCTGCAACACAAAATGCAAATCAACACAACTGGTTTGTTCCAATGAGGTACAAGTGAAACCCAGTGAATCCACCAACATACCACAGAGCAACGAAACAATAGGCCATTAGTACAACAGACTGAGGAGATTCCTTCATTGCTTCCCAAACTGTTCTATGGTTATCATCCATCAGAACCTGAATGTAGAATGCTGACATGGAGAACACATAGATGCAGAGAAGAGTTTCCGAAGTAACAAACATAAAAAAGAACCGGTAATTGCACTGTTTTTATACAGAATAGTCAGCTACTAAACAAAACAGTGCTCAACTGAAGCAAGAAACATCTGGACTCCTGTGAATAGATAGATTTATAAGATAAAACGTACCAGTCCAATGCATTGCCCCACCCAAGGGCAGTGGTGATCGAAACGCTCAACACAATTGTTGCAAATGGAACAGTGGGAGCAACGGGGAGGTCGATAAAGCATGCATGTGCACTACAGCAAAATTGTTCTACAGCGGCGTTTTTAGCGGCGTTTTAAGATTAAACGCCACTAACTTTAAACATACAGCGGCGTTTACATTTCAAACGCCATAAATGGTAACTTTAGCGGCGTTTTTATACAAAATGCCACGACAGAGTAGTACTTTAGCGACGTTTTTATACAAACGCCGCTATAGACTCGTACTTTAGTGGCGTTTTTATACAAAACGCCACGATATAGTAGTACTTTAGCGGTGTTTTTATACAAACGCCGCTATAAACTCGTACTTTAGTGGCGTTTTTATAAAAATGCCGCAATATACTTGTACTTAGTGGCGTTTTTATACAAACGCCGCTATAGGCTTGTACTTTAGTAGCGTTTTTGTACAAACGTCGCGATAGACTCGTACAGTAGTAGCGTTTTTATACAAACGCCGCAAGTTTAAAGTTTCTAAATCCCGCGCCTATTTAACCCTTTTTCATTTTTCCCTTCACCTATTTTCCATTCCCGCTCCCCCTTTCTAAAAAATAAAAATGTTTCATCTTCTCTCCTCCTCTCGACTTTAGACTCGTTTTCGGTTCTTTGATTTGTTTCTTGTAATCATGTTTCTTTTCCTTCATGACTAATTTCTTGGTTCCACTTTGCAGTGTTTTGGGGAATGGTCTGGAGCGATACTCTGAAAGTCAATGTCTATTCCATCAATCTCATCTTTGATCCCACCGCCACTCTTCATTTGATCTGGGTACCCCTTTTTACCTTCCCTCAAATTTCTTTACTTTCTTCATTGTCTCTAATTTCCTCTTGTATTTAATGATTTGTTTTCTTTGTTAGGCTATTGAATTCCCGGTTGTTATCCTTCTTTTCAGTTGTTGTAGACAGAAACCGGAGAATTGCTCGGTTAGCCAACAATTTCAATTCAACTTGTATAATTTGTATGTCTTTTAATTACTAGGGGCTCTTTTAAATGCGCTTGGAGCGTTAGCTTTGGGGGCACCCGTCGGATTGCAGTAAGTGATCCTTAACATTACTACGATTGTGACAATATTATCCAAGGCAGTCAATTGGCCTTGCTTTTCAGTTTTTCATTATGGTTTAGAATCAAGTTATTGCAAAATCATGCATTAACTGTGTTCCTCTATTGTTGGATGTAGGTACTTTGAAATGACCATTAGCTGGTCTCTTCTGATGTCTTCATTGACTGTAAGTTTCCAAATTTCAATTCCCTTGCCTGTTTATCATTATCATACATCTTTGAATGCTTAAAATTCGACTCTTTTAGGTGTGGGCATGCATACTCGTGTAGCAATATGTTCCCTTTTACATATTTATTTCATTTAATTTTATTTATAAAATTCTAAAGGTATATCATGGTTGTGATCCTCTTGCCTTTTTTCCTTGTTTGATATCCTCACTTGGATATCATGTTGGATTTGCATTTTGTTCATGTTTCCTCTTAGCCAACAGGCAGTATTGATGAGTTTCCATTGTGACATAATTATTTTAATTTCTAGTTGTGTTTTGTTCTTCAAAATTACCATGAATGTGAACCTTTACACTCCATACACGCACTAATTAAGTTATGTTTTGGTGCATTTTTACAGTTTGTGCCTACAGCTTGTGTTTATGGTTCATGTTGGACAGATTGGCATCGCATATTTGCATGTACAAAGTAAGTGTTTCATGTAGATGCTGACTTGCATGTACAACTTGTGTTTCTTGTGCCTACAGCTTGTTCATTTTTCAAGGTATATTAGATTTGGTATTGGTAAAAACTTTTGTATTTACCGTATTATTACTTTATTAGTTTGGGTATCAACTCACAGGTGAAATAACTGGCTTCATTCTGTGAAACATGTATAACATTTTCAACAGACAAATGCTTTCTTCTAAAGTTTCACCTTTGATTCATTGCGACTTAAAATTTTGGTTTTTATATTAAATTTAAGTTCTCAGGTTCATTTGTTTTTTTTCTTTTTTTTTCTTTTTCAACTTTAGAAAGCTACATATACTATATTCCTTCCAAAACTACACGATCATGCTAACTTTTCTGTCATACTCCAGAAAACAGCTTGGCTTGCAATGTTTTATATCTGCATACCTACTGGAATTGCTCTTGGATACGTTTATGGTGGATTTGTAAGTTTGTAAATCTTGTTGTTTATTTCTCATAGATCTTAGTTTTGCATTATGTGATTTACACTCCTAGTTCGAAGTATTACATGATACCCATCTGCACTGTTTAGGCATGTCTCCAAGATGTTTAATAATTAATCACTGTGTTAGCTAATCATATAGGTTGGGGGCTATTTTCATTGGCGCTATACATTATGGGAGAGGCATTGTTGATGCTTCCATTTGCTGTTTTGGGCTTCATGGTTAAACCTTTGCAGTTGAAAGGTAATTGTTTTGATGCTTTGCACAATTTTGTTTTTATGATCCCCACAGTAATTTAATCATTGAAGATCACTTACTTCAAACTATAGGTTTTCCTCCTGTTGAATCCAGAAAAACATTAACATCTGTGGAGACTGTTTCTTCCGTAATTGATGGTACGTGTTCCTTGTAGTTTTTTTATTGTATTAATTCATTATGGGTTCTTCTATTTGGTGTGGAGTTGAATTCAATGGTAGAGTGCTAAGCAGTTGCTATATGTGGATGCACGTATGTAAAAACATAATTCAAAGGAAAAAGTTTCTCCTTCACACATTAAATATATTATTTATTCATCTCATGCATATCACTACTGTTTTCGTTATCCAAATCTATTACCTAAGAAGTTTCAGTATGTCTATTGGGATGTAGCTAAATAATAGAAGTAATGAAATTTCTTTTATGATGCCAATCCCTGGTCCATGCAGTAAGACATCAAATTTCAATGTCTACTCTTCTCTAGATTCTGTAATTACTCTCTTGATTTTCTGTACAAGTTCTGTAAATTTTTAGTTGCTATACGTGTAATCATGTTATGAATGTGGTGAACTGGTGATTACTAGGGATTTTAATGAATGCTATGACTTGGGAGCTTATGGTGAGTTGGGCACATGAAAAGTGCGTGAAACATGGAGAAGGTAAAATATAAATTGGTTATAGAAGTCTTGTGATGGAGGAGTCCTTAATCCGTGATATCTTGGCACCTAGCATCGGGGAATAGACTGATGTCTGATGTAATTTTCAAAGTGGGTCATGTATCTTTGGAACAATTGTATCTAATCCTGTTTTACTGATGTTAAAAGTAAATCTATTGTAGGATTTAAATTTATGGATGCTTAAAATATATTGTTGTGTACTTTGATAGTCAGTATTCATTCAATAACCTGATTGTTCCTCTTTTCTTTGACAGGTCATTAAGCATACACAACATTTTGAATCAGATTTCTCGGTTTGCAAAAGACATGAAAGTGCTTTTGGTGGAAAAAGTTTATGTTGTAAATGTTTTGGGTATTTTCTTGACCCTTTCACATCAACTGGACTAATGCCTTGACTTTTTTAAAAATTAATGCCATTAGTTTGTTAGCTTTGAACTTAATATTCTTTAAAGATATCATGTATGATGAATGATGATAAATTGCTTTCTTTAATAAATTACTTACCTTCATATTCTCTAGCTCCGAAAAGAATGTTTCTTTAAGTTTGTTGTTATGGATGTCAAGTTTATGGGAAAATGCTACATGTTAAATTTGGGTAATAAAAGAGTAGAAAACAACATTTGACAAATTAGTTTTAATTTGCAAAATCAATTTCTTTTAGCTATAGAGAGGTAATTAGCGGCGTTTGTATCTTAAAACGTCGCTATAGATATGACCTTTTGCGGCGTTTGTTCTAAAAAACGCCGCTATATACCAGATCTTTTGCGGTGTTTATGGGAAAAATGCCGCTAAATTCAAGACCTATTGCAGCGTTTGTGGGAAAAACGCCGCTAAATCTCAACACCTATTACAACGTTTGTGGGAAAAACTCCGCTAAATCTCAACACCTATTGCGGCGTTTATTGGAAAAAAGCCGCTAAATATCAACACCTATTGCGGCGTTTGTTGGACAAACGCCGCTATATATCGTTACCTATTGCGGCGTTTTTTGTTACCAAACGCCGCGAACTTTAGCGACGCTATTTTCAGCGACGCTTTTTGCGGCGTTTGTTATAGCGCCGCAGGTGTTTTTTGCAGCACTTAAAAACGCCGCTATAGGTAAAAAAAAACGCTGCAAATGTACAGTTTTGCTGTAGTGGTGCTACAATACTTCACTCGCACCTGCATTCCGTTGACCATAACTTCTTTAGTTCGAGGGAACTGACGGCCTCGATTCCCAGCCTCAGCTGATACAGATGAATCATGGTGAGGCTCCTCATCTGGGGGACGTGAATTGCGAGGAATAATTCCTGGGTCCCGGGTTGATGTGAGGAAAAGAATAATCAACGCCAATCAAAATAAACTGCCCTATTAAAATCAATAGCAACTAAACCTAAAAGTAGAAAGTTAACAAAAAGTAAAGTGTTAAATACATGTGTGACCACTGAATTTGTCCACCTTTATCACTTTGGCCCTTTAAGAATTTTATTTTTTCCGTTTTTACCCAATGAACTTTATATTTATTACTTGTACACTTTCAACTTTTGTAAAAAAAAAAAATTAATGACCCAATTATATCTTGCCATGTGGATCTACTTAAAACCTATACTATTATTTTTGTCTTTTCCTGCACTAAAACTACAAAAAGAAATCCTCATATTTCTTCCCATACATCATGCCATTTCCTTTTCTTTATCTTCTTCATTTTTTTCTATTACAAAAATTTGAATCATGGCAATCACTGAACCAAAACCCATAAATAAGTTTGCTTACTTGAATCTCGTCCCTCCACCGCTTACTGAAAATCAACTGCAACTACTATATGGGTGCATTTCAAGTGCACGGAAATTGCTGATGCAATGACTGAAAAAATAAGGATGGCCTCTGAATGTAAAAATAATGGAGTATCAAATCATCACTTCATCAATTGGACACATTGAAGACTTTTTTGTTGGAAAAATGATGTTTAAAAGCAGCAGCCCCAAATCATTGGTGAGTGGATCATCTGGAAGAACAAAAGAGTCTACTAAATTGATGCTTCTTGTCATCCAATCTGGCTATAGCTCCATTGTGAATGATTATTCCCATTTTAGCTGAAACTTGCTAAGCGCATCAGCCTCTTTTAGTTCATCATCACCAGCAACGTGCCATGCACTTAAAATGCACCCATGTAGTAGTTGCGCTTGAGTTTCAGTATGCGATGTAGGGGAGAGATCAATTCAAGTAAGCAAACTTATTTATGAGTACTCATTTGATTAGGTGATTGCCATGATTCAAATATTCATAACATGAAACAAATGAAGAAATGCTAATATGAGTTTTAATTAGATCCATGTGGCATTATATAATTGGGTCATCAGTTTTTTAACAGTAATTGATGGTGTATAAAATATATGAATTCAGTGGGTAAAATGAAAATTCTTAAAGGATCAAATTATAATGGTGGACAAGGTATATGACCAAATATGTTTTAACCTAAAATAAAAGATAAAATCGATATATATATATATATATATATATATATATATACCTAGAAACTAGAAGGGGCTTTGGCTATCCAGAAATTCATTTCAATAACGGCAACTAGTATCAGATGAAAGGGTTCCACTATATTCCGCAAAAAACAAATATTTTAAAATTTAAAAGATCAATTATTTTGGGATTTTGAACATAAAAGTTCGTCCATGATGACCATGAAAATTTATGACAAAAACATAGCTGTTAAAAAATCCCAGCAGTTAAAAGTTTCCCTTAATTTATCCATAACTTACTGCTCATAAAAGTTCTTTCAGACATTTCAACAGTAATTGTTTTAAAACCTCAAGAAATAGTTCAAATCAACAAGTGATGGGAGAAGATACTTACATTGATAGTAAAGACAACTGCTACCACCATAACAGCATATCCTGCATTATATGGATAAAATGCATGTCGAAGATGCCTTGCAACATATATGCAAAAGACAATAGCAGGAGCGCTTATCAGCAACAAGGTAATTGGCAAAGATCTAGCATCTGAACCAAATATTAGCCTACCACCAAGGAAAAATTTCTGCAAAATGTATATAGAGGCAGAATTAAATGCTGAATGAAATTCATGGATATTCTGTTCGGACTGGAGACAACAAAAGATACAATGAAGAACATCAGATTGTGCTATAGCATTTCCATATTTTATCACATTTTAAAGCTATCATTCTCTATATTTTTCAAAACTTGCACACCTTTTATTCAATCCTATTGCCAACTACCCTAAAATACTCTTAAAAATTTAACTTTGGTATACCTCTATCCTAATTCTCATCTACAAAACATAGTTTATGCAAATAGTATACACAAGAATTTCTCTAGATATCACATCCAAATATATAGTGAATGCAGTGAAAAACAAACCAACAAGTTTCTTATGGTTACATTATTTCAAAATCTATTTGTCTTGTTCTTTTCTGGGAGGGGGGAAGAGGGGTTATTAGAAGATTGAAAATATTACATCGCTCTTTGAAAAAATGTGATCATTCATCTAAACCTTAACCACAATCTATTACCACATTGTTCAACCACAATCTATTACCACATTGTTCAACCACAATCTATTACCACATTGTTAGTCCAGTCTAATA